AGGATATAAAATAATTATTTAAAGAAAAGATTTTGTATAAGTAAAATATAAACGTTTTGGTTAGACTTAGCAAACTATAACCATTATACTTTAGCTATGGCTAGAAAAATAGAACTTGTGAACGTTGTGGGCACCAATGTGCAACACCACAAAAACTTCGAGAGCATCTTAATAGAAAAAATCCATGCAGACCCCGCATTTCTCCAGTACTTTTACCTCAGCACCAAAGTACTTTGACTATATCGAGAAATTTAGAAGACTTACATATACCTAAAACGACACAAAATCCAGAGCCATTGCCAGAGCAAAATTCAAAAATATTACTTGAAAATGTACCTCAAGTAGTAGAGTCAGAGACACATGGCTTTACCATAAAAAATGCTAATGACAGATTGTCTGGTGAAACTGTTAAGCAATGGGGTTCAAGATTACGAAAAAGAATTAAGTATCTAAGTCTTAAAGATCGTGGTCAACCCAAAAATTTAGCAGAATGCAAAGCCCTTTATGATGAATTATTGCAAATGGATGATGAGGCATATGGTTATATAGAACCTATAAAGCAGACAAAAGAAGAACAAGAATTCTTTGGAGAACCTGAAATCGAAGTAGAGAAGCAAGTATCACAGCCTGTTAAAAATCAAGCTATAGACTCTCCTAAAGCTGGCCCAGGTCCAAAAACTCAAGCTTATTGGGAAAAGAAAAATGAACAATCTAAAAAGATTCCTTTAGACCCAAAGTCTGCAATAGAAATAGACCAGACAAATGAGGAATTTGAGCGTCTCAGTATAATTACTGGGGATAATGAAAAAAGTATAATATTTAGAGAGCAAAACATGGGACCAGCATTAAAAAGGCGAGCTGTTGCCGTACATAATGCAAAAGTTCCAAGATATCATCCAGATAATGGAAGCGATATCAGAAAAATGTTAGAGAGTCAAAGAAAACCATTCCAGGAACTACTTGAAAAAGAGTTTGACAAACGCGGGCAGTTCAAATTTTCATTATGTTCTCTTACAAAATTCCTTGTAGATGACAAACCGGGCGATAAAGAAAAAGATAAGAAAAAGAACACAAGAACTGATTGGTTACGAAATAAGCAAATTATAGTATATAATCGATCAGAAATTGATAATTATTTAAGTAATGCTTTCGAACAAATTATAAATCAAGTGGAGGAGAGAGGAGGTAAGTCTAATGCTTGAGAATGTGTTTTGGTGGTAACTCAGTATCTTTAGGGACAATCTGAAGTTCCTCTTTAACAAAAAAACGTTCTGGACCATTGAAAAGTTTATAGAGAATCGGTTGATTGTTTTTTATCAAATATGATTCAATTGTGAAAACCTCGGGACTCCAGTTACAATCAGTCGCTCTTCTTTTTCCGAAAGTATTACCCTCCAATTCTCCTGTTTCTAGAAGATGACGAACTTCTGTATGGGTTGGTAAAAGGGACTCGTTATATCCCACAGGTCGCCTATGCTTTACGGAGGGTTTAGCAAATATTTTTTCGCCGTTTAATGATTTTTTTACCGCCTCATTGGGTGTCATACCTATTTGACTGGTAACGGAGTTATTATAAACATTGTCATCAATGTCAAGCTCTCCAAACCAAGAACGGCTTCTTTCAGATAATGGTAAAAGAAAATCAACAGCATCCTGTCGTCTAAAAGATTGTTTTTCATATTCTTGATGATCACGTTCGGCAATAGCAACACCCCCGCTTACTTTTAGCATACGAAATTTTTACGCCACGTCGGAGTAACATTTCTCTGCACTCCCCCATATACTCCGTTCCTTTATCAACTCTAAAGTCTTCAGGCCAAGTAAGAGGATTTGAGGAATCATTATAAATTTTCTTAATAGCCTTAGACATTTGGGCTGATGATTTATCTGTCAAACCAAAACTCTTGCGATATCTGGTTGTCACATCTTTTATCACACCTCTGTATTTATAAACCCGTTTACCAACCTTATCATGAGGCATAGGTGTGGTGTCAGACTG